TTGGGCGTGGGGGGCGCATGCGGGCGGTCCCACTGGGGGCTTCGGTGGAGCTCCCTATGGGGCCACGAAACGCTGTACTGGGTGGGTGAACGTTCCAAATTGGACGTGGGGGGCGCATGCGAGCGGTCCCACTGGGGGCTGCGGTGGAGCTCTTTATGGGGCCACGACACGCTGTACTGGGTGGGTGAAAATGCCAAACTGGGTGTGGGGGACGCATGCGGGCGAACCCACAGGGGGCTTCGGTGGAGCTCCCTATGGGGCCACGAAACGCTGTAATGAGTGGGTGAAACTGCCAAATTGGGCGTGGGGTGCGCACGCGGGCGGTCCCACTGGGGGCTGCGGTGGAGCTCCCTATGGGGTCACGAAGCGCTGTAATGGGTGGGTGACAATGCCAAATTGGGCGTGGGGGACGCATGCGGGCGGTGGCACCGGGGCCTTCGGTGGAGCTCCCTATGGGGCCACCAAACGTGTGAGGGGGGTGTGCCAAATGTGGTGTGGGGGACGCATGCGGGCGGTGGCACTGGGGCCTTCGGTGGAGCTCCCTATTGGGCCACGAAGCGTGTGAGGGGTGTGCCAAATTGGGCGCGGGGGGCGCATGCGGGCGGTGGAGAGGAGGGGGAGGAGGAGGAGAAGAGGAACGCGGGGACCGTCTCTTCAAAACGAGGACCCAACACCACAGGATGGTTGGGAAAAAAGCGCGGGGAATGGACGTCCGAGCGGTGCCCAGCTGGGCGAGCGGGGGAGCCAAGAGACCGCAACCAGCCAAAGTGTCACCTGCGGGAGTCAGGCGATCGCAAACATCGATTAAGATGCTGTTTTTTCAGGGTCCCGCGAACACCCGGGTTATCGGGTTTGCCCACCACCCCCCACCCCCCCCAGGATGACCTAACGTTGCCGGTTGTGCAGGTCAGGGGTGGGGGGGCGCGGGCATATGCAGGGCTGCCCGCAGCGCGAAGGTTAGGTTATCGGCCGGCCCCCTCCTCCTCCCCCGGATAACCCGGGTTATCGCCGATTTGCAAAAACGGTCTGTAAGGGGGCGTGGATTAGCGACGGGTCCCGTTTCCACGGGAAATCGCGGATTTCCGCCGCCGAGCTAGGCGGCACCGGCTGCATTTTGGGTACGAGACCTCCCCCGATTCATGGATTTGGCGACCTGCACGCCAAGTCCATGGATCGCGAATTCATGTCTGCGCGCCCTCGAGACAGCGGAGGTGCAGTGTGGTGTGAGGTTTGGAGCTGGCTGGGTCAAGGTGCGAGGCGTATTTGGCGGAGAAGGAGGCCGCCACTCACCAGCGTCCATATGCTTCGAGACACAAGTGGCGGTGGAGCGGGTGGCGCGCTGGCCAGAGCCAGTTGAGTGTTGGGCAAGCGGAGAGACCAGAGACCGTGAGAGAAGCTGTGGGGTCAAAGGGGGAGGCGGCCGTGGCCAGGCGGCCGTGGCCAAGGGGGAGGAGGAGGGGGAGGAGGAGGAGGAGGAGGAGGAGGAGGAGGAGGAGGAGGAGGGGGAGGAGGAGGAGGAGGAGGAGGAGGAGGAGGAGGAGGAGGAGAAGGAGCAGCAGCAGCATCAGCAGCAACAGCAGAGACAGCAGAGGGGAGGGAGGAGGAGGAGGAGGAGGAGGAGGAGGAGGAGGAGGAGGAGGAGGAGGAGGAGGAGGAGGAGGAGGAGGAGGAGACTGCCAGTGAACCGCATGCTTCCTCTGAAGTGCAGCGGCGGTGCTTTGCGTGCCCCAGCTTGTGCCACCGGACCGTGTCTCGCCTGCCTGTGCGGGGGGGCGCTTGAGGGGCCGCGGCCTGCTGCTGCGCGGGTGTCTTCCAAGGCACGTTGGCGGGGTGCGTCTTCGTGCGGGGAGCCCGCACAGCTGCCGCCCAGTCATTTACGGGGGGGGGGTCGGAGTGGTACTGAGGGATGTCCTTCGGGCTCGGGTGACTCGTGGGGGCTTCCTGTGCGTCCTCTCAGCTTTGTCCTGAAACCGGTGCCGACGGGCATTGGCACGGAGGGGAGGATGAATGGTGATGCTGCTGCTGGTGATGATGATGATGCTGATCCTGGTGATGGTATTGTTGATGATGATGTTGTTGACGACGATGCTGATGATGATGCTGCCGATGATGATGACGATACTGATGTTGATGATGATAATGATGATGCTGCCGCTGATGCTGCTGATAATGATGATGATGATGCTGATGATGATGCTGATGACGATGGTGGTGATGATGATGCTGCTGATGATGATGATACTCATGCTGCTGATGATGATGATGATGATGATGATGATGATGATGATGATGATGATGATGATGATGATGATGATGATGATGCTGATGATGCTGATGATGATGCTGATGCTGATGCTGATGCTGATGCTGATGCTGTTGACGATGCTGACGCCGATCATGCTGTGTTGATGACGACGACGATGGTGATGATTTTGATGATGAACATGATTATGACGGTGCGATGTGACTGTTGATATGATGTGCTGATGATGCTGCTGCTGATGCTGCTGATGATGATGATGAGGAGGAGGAGGAGGAGACCCAGGAGGATGAGGCAGTATGAGGCAGCGACGGAGGAGTCAGCGATGGAGGAGGAGGGAGGCAGGAGGAGGAGGAGGAGGAGGAGGAGGAGGAGGAGGAGGAGGAGGAGGAGGAGGAGGAGAGGAGGAGGAGGAGGTTGGAGGAGGAGAGAGAGGTTTGGGAGGGGGAAGAAGAATGAGAGAGATGAGCAGGAAGAGGTGAGGAGATGATGATGATGATATGATGTGATGATGATGATGATGATGATGATGATGATGATGATGATGATGATGATGATGATGATGATGATGATGATGTTGATGATGATGATGGATGATGAATGAGATGATGATGGTGATGGTGTGATGGTGATGATGATGAGGAGGAGGAGGAGGGAGGAGGAGGAGGAGGAGGAGGAGGAGGAGGAAGAGCGGAGAGGACGTTGAGGCAGGGGGAGGAGAAGGAGGAGGGGGAGGCCCCTTCCCCGCGAGGTGGCGCCTGGTGTGCATGCACGCCGAGGGGCTGGCGGCCCAGGACTTCGCGGCCCTGCCGGAGGCGGTCCGCGAGTTCGAGGCGCTGGGGGCGCGCGTGCGCGACGGGCCTGCGGCCTCTCCCCTCCGCTGGCTGCCGCTGGCTCCCGGGGCTGCTGCTGCTGCTGCTGCTGCTGCTGCTGCTGCTCGAGGCGAGACGGGGGTGGGAGGAGGCAGGGAGGGAGGAGGAAGACGAGGAGGAGGAGGGGGAGGAGGAGACTTCTCATGCCATCAGCATTCAATACGCAGCTGGAGGAGGAGGAGGAGGAGGAGGAGGAGGAGGAGGGAGGAGGAGGAGGAGGAGGAGGAGGAGGAGGAGGAGGAGGAGGAGTGGAGGTGGAGGTGGAGGTGGAGGTGGAGGTGGAGGTGGAGGAGGAGGAGGAGGAGAAGCCAGGAGGAGGGCATATGGAGGGAGATGAAGCAAGAGGAGGTAGGACCAGGACGAGGGGAAGGAGGAGGAGGCAGGAGGAGGAGGGTGAGCTGCCCGAGGCCTTCCTTTCCATTATCACCCCTTTCCGTCCCCCCTCCTATTTCTTTGTCCCCTAATCCTCCATGATCTTGCCCACCCCCTCCTTCGCGATGAAGGAAGCGGGTCCTGAGGGAAACGGGTCCCAGACCCAAGGACTTCCCCTAGGACCAGGTCCTCGTGCCGACCTGCCCTTTGACGACCCCGTGGGCCAGGCCCATGAGCCCGAGATCGGGACATCCAAGTCCAGGGCCAGGTTCCTACAGGACCTGATTATGATTGTCAGCAGCTTTTGATTGTAACTCCTCCCTCCCTGCCCCCCGACGGCGGCGGCGGCTAGCCGAGGTGGGCGGCGCGGGCGTCGTGCGCATCGGGCGGCACCACCAGGCCAGGGGTGCCCCGCGCCCGCCGCCCCATCTCCCCGCGTGCCCAGCCGCAAGGGACGGGAGGAGGAGGAGGAGGTTCTCTTCTCCTCCCTCCTCCTCCTTCTCGTCCTTCTCCTGCTCCTCCCCCTCCTCCTCCTCCTCCTCCTCCTCCTCCTCCTTCTCCTCCTCCTCCTCCTCCTCCCTCCTCGTCCTGACCTTCACATATAAGGTATCCGCACAGGTAACCTTCGCGCGGGCCAGGAACACATGCGCTGTCATGCACGCCCCTGCCATGCCACAAGGTATATGGGCACCTCATGCGGAGACAGACGTAACACGTGTCTAGGACCATGTTCATGAACACATGGTAGTTCGCAGTGCTGCATGTTATGTGCACGCAGGCTATATCTTGTACCGTTCCATTGAGATTCGCGCCTTTGGGTCACACCGCATCTTGGCATCACTTCACCAAGCAGGCGAAGCTGTTCCCCCCGGGGGAGGGTGGGCTGGGGGGCGCTGATGCCCCAGACGCAGCCCGCGCGGCGCCTCCCCGTCTTCGGCACTGCCTGGGTACCGGTGCCCCCTCCCGCGGCGGCGCAGCGCGTCTGGGACAGAGCGTTCTTTGAACAGTGCTAGGATGCTGCTGGGCGCCCCCCCCCCACACCCCCCCTCCCCCTCCCCGCCGCGCTCTCATCGACCCCACGCCTTTTTGTTCTTTTGGTTCTCATTGTTTAACCCCCTGACGGGGCGGCACGCCTGCGATTCACAAAATGCACAATGCCTGCGGTGACTGCGATCGCTTCGAGGTGCACGGGCGCTGCCTGCACCCTATCATTTGCGGCGTCTGCGTCGCGCCATGCGATGCCTTGCGGTGCTTGCGCTAATGCTGCGTAAACTCGCCATGCTTGCACCTTGTTTTTTTCGCCGCCTGCGGCGCCCGCGCTCTGCCGCGGGCAACGCCTGCGCCGACGACATCAACTGCCTGTGGGCGGCGCCCGCGCTGACACCGCGGAAAACGCGGGCGGTGCCTGGACCCTGTAGTACGTCGCGCGCCTGCGGCGCCAGCGCACAGCCATGCGCCGTGGCCGCGCAAAACACAAAGAGTTGCATGCGGCGCGCCGCGCTGGGGCCAAGACTCGAGGGCGGCGTCTGCACCGCACGGCTTGACTTGGCTGCGGTGCCTGCGCCCTGCCATGCTCGGCGCCTCCGCCGGCCGAGCCACCTGCCCGCGGCGACGGCGCGCCATTCATCTGTGATGCACCCGCCGCGCGTTCCTGCCCCCAGCAGTGTGTGCATGCTGCGTCCGTCTCAAAAGGTTGACCGGGAAAACGCCTGTGTTCTCCTCTCCCCCGAAGATGGCCGCGGAGGTCCCCCCCCTCCGCGTCTTGTTCTTTACAGGCAGGATTTCGGCCGCTGGTCAGCCGTATAGTTTGTTTACAATCTGGTCGTTTTCGATCCTTCCAAATGGTGGTGTTTCCGTGGTCCTCCTCCCGTCCCTTCCGCTCCAGTGCCGGGCGTTGATGCTCGTCTTGGTCTTCCTGCTTCCTCATTCCCTTCCCTCTCCTCCTGCTCATCCCCCTGCTCATCCGCCACCGATGTACGCAGCTCCCTGCATTCTGCTTGCGCATAGCACGGCGGGGTTCTTCTAGGAATTCCGGGTCCGCTCTGGCACACACGTCGGCGGACAGAGAAGCATCGGCGCAAGGGGAATTTGATGGGTGGGGGGGTAGGGTGTCGGGTAGCTGTGGCGCGAGCGCACCCAGCTTGTTCTCCTCCCCCAAGTTTTCTTCCTCCTCCTCCTCCTCCTCCTCCTCCTCCTCCTCCTCCTCCTCCTCCTCCTCCTCCTCCATGTGTGCCCCAGCGCCAGGGGCGGGAGGAGGAGGGGGAGGAGAGGCTTCCCAGGTCTTCTCACTTGTTCAATACTGACGGTTTTCCCTGGAGGTTCTCGTTAGATCCTGGAGTTTTGTTCGCCTCGGGTTGCTTTCCATCAGACGCGCCTGGCCGAGAGCGCTCCTGGCTTCCAGAATCTTCGCGAAAGGCCACCAGAGGCCCGAGCGATGGCCTGAAAATGCAAATCTCTCGGCGATGCGTTTTTTTCAGTCCGGGTGTTGTTTCTGATTTCTGCCATGTGGTCCGTCTTCGGGCACCGGGCCCATCAAGCGTAGATCGGAGACGAAAAGCTAACCCCGTGGAAGCGGTCGGGACTTCTGGGGCCGCAAATAGGAAAATCATACCAGTACGGCCGCCATTCGGGCGAGATGGAGGTTCGGGGGGGGAGGGGTATTCAACGTCTCAGTCCCTCGATCCCACACCAGTCACACTCGCGATCTCACAACGGATCACACTCTCGACATCATCTATCTCTCTATCGATATCACGAAAGATCTCACGATCGATCGCCCAATCGATCTCATCATGGATCTGACAATCGACTTTATTATCGATCTCACATTTCGGACGCACTATTGATCTGACAACAGATCTCACTATCGGTCTCGCTATCGATCTCACAATCAATATCACCATCGATCACACAATCGATCTTATCACCAATCTCACTATCGGACTCACAATCGATTACAACATCGATCTCACAATCGATTGTACAATCGATCTCAGTATCGGTATCACTGTCAATCCCACTAGATATCTTCAGCGATCTCGCGATCGATCTCACAACAGATCTCACTATCGATCTCACAACAGTTTCCACTGTCGATCTCACAATCGATCTCATCACCGACTTCACGATCGATCTCACTATCGATCTCACAACAGATTGCACTATCGATGTCACGATCAATACCACTATCGATTCGACAATCGAAGTCACCATCGATCTCAAAAGCGATCTCACGATCGATCTGACAACATATTCCACTAGAGATGTACCAATCGACCGCACCAACGATCTGACAATCGAACAACCATCCATGTTTCATTTGGACTCGCTATCGAGCTCAGAACAGTTATCGCTACCTGTCTCGCTATCGATCTCACAACCGATCTTACCATCGATGTCATCATCGTTCTCACAATCGATCTCACCATCGGTCTCACAATCGATCTTAGTATCGATATCTCTGTCGATCGCACTACAGATCTCACGAGCGATGCCACCATCGGTCTCACCAACGGTCTCACTATCGACCTCACCACTGATCTCACTATTGATGTCACAACAGATCTCACTATCGGTTCCACAACAGATCTTACAATCGATCTCGCTATCACTATCGATCTCACCGCCGCGCCACTGACGGGACCCCCCGCGCCGCCGACGGGACACCCCGCGCCACCGACGGGACACCGCCGCGACACCGACGGGACACCGACGGGACACCGACGCGCCATTGACGGGACATTTCCTGCCACTGCGCGCCGGGGGGGGGGCCCTAGCCACGGCGGCATCATTTCTCCAGCGCGCTCACGCAGCTACGCCTCGCCCGCACGCACGACACGAACACGGAATCGAAACCGATTTCTTTGCGAGGGGCTCTCCATTCCATAACCGTCCCATTGCGATCTCACCCCCTCGCCTCCGTCCGATCGGAGGATGCGTGAGTTGGCGAGGGGTAGAGATGGGGCGGGGCTTGAGGATTGGGAGAGAGGGAAGGAGGGGTAGGGGTGAGGGTGTGGATCAAGTTAGCCAGTTCGAGCGAGCCAGAGGGATCCGTCCACCCCCACCCGCCCTCCCACAACATTAGAAGCAAGTGCGTCGCGTCCGACGCCTGTCGCTCATCTTCTATCGTGGGCAGATAGACGTTCAGCGCGCGACATGCGATGCGTCCTATTCCTGCCGTGTATTGAGACGTCGACGAGAAACAAGGACGCGCGCGATGTATGCCGCGTCCCGCTCCAGCCTCTCATGTTTCATCGTCGGCGACAACATGTCCAGCGCGCGAAGTGCGCCGCGTCTCATTCCAGCCGCGCGCGTTGCACCGCCAATCGTTTCGCTCCTGCCGCGCATGGAGGGGGGGGAGGACGAAGAGGAGGAGGAGGAGGGGAGGGAGAGAGGTTTCTTTTACGTGGACACGACAACGGGCGCGCCGGCGGCGAACCGCACTTGCTTGAAGCATTCTGACTTGCCGCCCGCCGGGCTCCTCAACCCGACGGGCCGTAGCGTCGGCGACAAGAAAGTCCATGTTGACGAGCAGGTGTCCCCGCGCGATGTGTGCCGCGTGCCATTCCCGCTGCGTGATTTGCAGCGCCGACGGGGAGAAGGTACATGTTGGCAAGGAAAGCGTTGACGTTGTGGTGTTTTTGACAGGTTGGACGGGGTCCCGCGTAGAGTTGGCCAGACGTCCGCGCGCGATGTGCGCCGCGTCGCAGCGTCGACGACAAGAAAGTCCATGTTGTCGAGGAGAACGTTGACATTGGAATATTTTTCGTCGGTTGGACGCGACCACCCGCTTAGGGTTACCCAAGCGATGTCCATTCCGTCCCATTCCTGTTGCACGATTCGCTGCGTCGACGACAAGAAAGTCCATGTTGCCGAAAACAACGTTGATTTTGTATCGTTTTTTTGTTCGGTAGGTGCGACCAACCCTTCAGGGGTACCCAAGCGATGTTCATTCCGTCCCATTCCTGCTTCACTTTCGCAGCTCGGCGACATGCTGGCGAGAAAAAGTTAGTTCGAGTTGTTTTTTACAATTAGGACGGCTGGGTTGTTATCGGCCGGCTAGGTGGGGGTTTGGGGTGTGTAGCCATAAGAAGTAATGATGGAGTGGGGAGGAGGAGGAGGAGGAGGAGGAGGAGGAGGAGGAGGAGGAGGAAAAAGGGGAACAGGATGCACAGAGGGGGAAATATGGGGTCGAGGCAATCCCATGCAGACCGATTTCCACACGATTTATTGCATTGTGTAATTGACCAGTACGCCTTCCTGTAATACCAGCAAGTTGTTTTGCCCCCCGCCTTGGTGCACGGTCTGGTTTAATCTTTCTTGGGTGATGTCTTGTGCCTTGTCTCTTGTCCTGGATGCAGCCGCGTATCATGTCTTCCAGTGTGCACGGTGCCATGTCT